TTCTCCATCCACAGATAAGTTCCAGCTTGCACTGTATTCCAAGTTCTTTTGTATATTATTCTAATTTACCCTATCTCCTCTTCTTCTTCTTTTTTTTTTTTCCAACTTTATTTATTTTTATGTGGTACTGAGGATCCAACTCAGGGTCTTGCACGTGTGAGGTGAGCAGTCTACCGCTGAGCCATAACCCCAGCCCCCTGTCTCTTCTTTAAGATGGTGTAAACCCCAACTGGAAAATGGTAATGGTATGGGCTCTTCTATTTGTACAGTGCTTTATTGCATACCACGTGTTTTCAAACATTTTGTCTCATCCACTCTTCATGGCACCCTAATGTGACATGTAGTAAGACTAGTGGGATCATCTACATTTTTTAATAGATGTGGAAACAGGCTCAGGGATCAGTAGCTATCAGTTACACGAGGGAACAGAGTGCAGTTCAGATTGGGTAGGTCACTCATTTGTCCCATGGCTGCTCATGTAGTAAGTGGCAGAGTCTCAATTTGCTCTTTCAAAGATCTTCCCTACGCTACTGCCTGAGAGGTAAGCAAAAGCTGGGATCCACCTCTGGATTTCTTCTGTGGTTTCCTGTGCTCTCTTGAAGCCACCTCCAGTGAGTTTCACCCTCCACTGCCCTGCCAAGCAGGAGAGCTAGTTCATTAGGGAAGGGCCTTCCACAAGTGTGGAGTGAGCCCAGAAAGGCCTGCTGTGTCCACCCCCACTCCCAGCCCAGCCCAGCCCAGCCCAGGCTGTTCTGCCCTGAGTGGCAGCCTGCATTAAGCATTCTACTCATCATCTCAGGGATGATGGAATCCTAACCTTTTCGGAGACACCGTGCTCTGTCACAAGCATTGCTCTTTTTAAAAGAGATTAATTCACTTGCCGCATTTTGTCCATTGGTGAAAATCACAGGGGAGAGCAAGGGTGGCTTTCTTAGGCCTCAGAGGCCTTTCAGCCATGCTCAGCAGGCAGYCAGCCCCCAGCTGCCTGGGACTTTGAAATGACTGCCCGCTAGGCATTCACTTGCAAAGCAACCAGTGAAATGGGGGAGACCTGGATTGTGAAATTCTAACTTTTTGGGCTGCTCTACACAGAGGGGAAAGAGGGGAAGGGCCTACCCTGCTCTGTAAGAGGAAAAGTTGCTGTGGTGGTGGTAAAGTTAGCTCTGGTCCTCCCTCAGTTTGTCAGGTGCACCACTCCTTACAAGAGTTCTACCATGTGGTATCTGTGTGGTGTCTCTCAATCCTGACAAACATCTTACACAAATCTTCTATTTCATAGCTAGTAAATGACAGAGCCAGTATCTGGACTCCAGCCCTTGAACTCCAGGGTTGTTGATTTTTTCCCATCAAATCTCAGGCCCAAAATGTTGCAAAGAATGATGCTCAGCCAGGAACCTGGGCAGGGTTTGGAAGCCGGAGTCTTACTGAAGAAGACCATGGTTTGCCTTCTGTGAATGACCTCACAAGTTTGTAGAGCTCTTTTCTGAGTTTTTCAGTGCTGTTTCCCAAAACTCATGTGGCTTGATAGGGATCATGATCCTCAGTGCATCTATGAAGAGACTGAAGCTTGGCAAGATGATACGCCTGATTAGGCTATTAGAATGATAGGTGGCAGAGCTGATACTAGAACCTAAGCTCCTGACTCTCCCCTGTGTTCTTTCATTGAAATGCTAGCAAGTTGAGGGAAGCTGCCTCTGCCAGCTGTCCCTTTTTTTTTTTTAAAAGAAAACCCTGCAATGTACAGAAAAGAAAGCCTCTAAACACAAATATTCATATCAGTAGCATAAAATTCCTGGTGATCATCACAAATTAAAACAATAATGTAATACCTTTTGTACACATTAAGACTGGGACTGGCTACTGCTAAGTATTGGCAGGGAGAGTGTGTACAGGAATACCCCCATCCTGATAGTGGGAGGGCAGATGCAGCAGCTGTCCTGTGGAGGACTCTTGCACTATTTAGCCATATTAAGTACTCACACAGCCTATGACCTAGGGATCCCACTCCCAGTACATGTCCTAAGGAAGTACACAGTTCCAGAAGGGGACATGTAAGAGAATGTGCTTTGAGCATTGTTTTTGGTGGCTGGGAGATGGTGGCTACCCGAGAGGGTATCCCTGGGACAGCARCAAGGAAATATTTGGTAAATTATACTCGTCCCCTTTTCCTCATTTTCTACTCATCCCCTTTCATTTTTTTTTTTTTTTAATTTTTGTGCTATTGGGGATGGAACCCAGGGACTCTCTACCACTGGAATACATCCYCAGCCCTTTATGTTTTTTTATTTTGAGATAAGATCTAGCTAAGTTGCTGAGGCTGGCCTTGAACTTGGCAATTCTCCTGCTTCAGCATCCCAATTTGCTGAGATCACAGGATAACTGGAGTGTATTATCACACCTGGCTATTCACTCCCTTTCAAATGCAGCCTGCTTAAGTTATTAGGTTAATTTTGTTATTACTTTTGCCCAAAACCTTTGAATGACAGCCTCATTGTCTTTAGTAAAAGGCTAAAGAATGACAAATGGGTTTCTTTTTTATTGCCAGCTTCAGTTGAGCAGTGGTAACTGGGACCTGTGTTGAGGAAGGTTCTGAAGCTCTTTCAGTGACTCCACAAGAAATGGCTGCTAGGAGAGATTTGTGATTTCCTGTCTTAGATGCAGGATGCTGGACAGCAGTATGCTTGCCAGGCATTTATCAATGCTTTAGACTGCGTTTTTATCTTAGGCCCCAATATTGACTTCATGGGGGCTTGTACCCCTGGATGTTATGTGTAAAATAATAATATTTGAATGTGTGTGTGCTCCTATGCACCTATTTTGTAGAGAAATTTCATCGTATTCTCAAAAGAGTTCACAACTCAAAAAGGTTTATGTTGGCTGCCCAACCTAGACCTGTGTTTGAGGACCTGTGACTGCTCTGCTTGCTTCAGCAGCTGTCTGCTTCTCTGCTGTGACCTGTCACCCAGATGGATCTGTCTGCTGGTCACTGAATGTCTGTTCCCTGCTTCTCTATCACATCCTGTTCCTTTTGCCTTGACTGGTATTACTTGCCTCCCTCTTCCCTACACTCTCCCATTCTTTTCAGCAGAGTTCTAGTCTTTCAGCTCAGAAACCTCTTTTTTTCTTCAGCCTGTCCTGATTTTCTGACCCTTTCTGGACCAGAGAAGTGAGGCCTTCTACAACATTATAATTAGGATCAGAACTCTGCCCAGACTCTGAAGCTTCAGAACCACACATTTCCATGGTACCATGTGGTCTGCTGACCTAGGAAGAGGAGGTTTTAGATTTTGTCTCACAGAAAATTCATCCCCAGGGTTCTTAGCCTAATTAACATCTACTGCTACTGGAAATTGTTTCCTCATAAAAGAAGTTTAACAGTAWGTGGTATAAGGCTCCAGGTCTTCATCTAAAGAAATCCCCAAACCAGAGGTGAGAGGTGAGGGTTTCTCCACCTCCTGTAATTGTTCCCTCACAGTTTGGGTCCCAGGTGTACCACATCTCTTGTAGGACCTCATATACCCCTGGCCTTGCTCTCTGAGTGAATAGGCTGCACCTCTGCCTGGAACACCTGATGCTGTTTATGTGGCTAATTCCCCTTTATCATCACCTCCACTGAGAGGTCTTCTGGTCACCAAGGCTGGTTGGGGTTCCCTTGTTGTGCTCCTACAACTTCTAGACCCCATTCGTAGCACTCTTGACATGCGTAGTCTGTGCTTGGTGGGCTGTCTCCCTCTCAGGCCGTAACAACACCTGTCTCAGTCACTGCATCAGGACACATGGCCCTCAGAGCTGAATGAGTGGACAGATACACTGTGTTTCTTACCATCCTTCCAAGCCTTGTTTGCTTGTTTACTTTAGCTGCATAGACATTTTATTTGGCTTGGTCCAGAGGAGCATTTACTACAGACTGTGATATAARAATGGTGCTAGGACTCAGACCAAAGCCTCTGGGCTCTGCCCAGTGCCCATTTGGCTAGACCCACTGCAGTGTAGACAGCCTCTCAGCTYCCTTAACCCTCTTTTACTAGTCCCTCATAAGGACATCCTGCCTAATGGGTGAATCATAGTCTCAATTTTCAGTCTCTTCCTCTGCTGGTGCTAGTCCTTGATTTCCTGCTATCCTAAGTCCTCCCTCCACTAGCTTGTATGCTTCCCTAGAGCATACCCCATGTCTTCACCTCACTTGGATCCAGAATCCAGCACAGGAGCAAAGCACATGCCATTGGTTTGTTGAAAGCAATTTAGGCTTTGCCATTCTTGTTTCATGGAGCCAATATGTCTTTGGAGAAAGGGTGGTGAGGGATTTKTTCAGAAGGAGTCCACTTATAAAGTCATTACCAACCTGGATTTCAGTCACTGACTTGCCCCTAAACTCGCTGTGCGACCTTGAGTGATTTTTTTCCCTCACTGAGTGTTTCTTTATCCATGAAAAAAAAWATACTATTTTACCCTCCTTAAGCTTATGTGGAGAGCAAGGAACTCATAAGTATAGAGTGCCTGGGGCAGTTCCTGCTCCTGCTGGGTGCTGAGTAATCAATGGTTCTGTATATTCCCCATCTCTACCCCATACCACAGGGCCTCCTGTTTTGGGGATCCAGAATTCAGATTTTTAGTGGTATACTTTCAAACCCTAGGTTTGTTAATTTACTTGACAATTAGTGAGCTCCTCCTATATGCCAGGTGCTGATGCATAGATTAAMATAAGATCTCTGTGGGCTTTCCTAGAAACCTGATCTAGCATTTCTAATGTTCTTCCCATCTTTCCTCAGGCTGAAAGATTTGCAGTTTCCAAAGAGCCACAATACAGATAAACTTGAGAAATGTGATCCATTTGTAAACTGGGAATCACCTAAATAAGACACATGGGTAGGCATTCTAAGTTGGGCAAAGTGAAATTAAGGGGAAGGAAGCAGAGCTGTAGCCCAGGTGAGTCAAAGAAAGCTTCCCAGGAGAGAGTCCACAGGCCATGTTTGTGAAAATTTTTCTCTGCCTCTTTTCAGRTTATTATCAGAAGGTGCAGATGTCAACACGAGGCACAAACTTGGCTGGACAGCACTCATGGTGGCAGCCATCAACCGAAATGACAGGTAAGAATCYCCCTCCACACAGCCTCCCCCTAGCTCTTTGCAAGCTATGTTCCTGACCACTCTCTCACCCTTGCCTTCCCCTTGCTGTGTTCTCCAGAAACAGGGACATGATTGAGTCTCAGGTTCCAGACTTTACCTGGTGCATTGGATTGGATAGTGGATGTGGAAAGGGAAGGTGTGACTTTGGATCTTGATTCCATTATTAATTGGCTTTGTGACCTTAGGCAAGGTCATTTGCATTATCCTAGCATCCAAATGTTTGAAAGCCTGTTGTAAATGGTTAAGTGTATATGTGTTGGTTATCATCATGTTCTTACTGTCTATAGACTATCCATGTTAAGAAGCCGGCAGTCACTTTCTCTAGCAATGGCTCCACTAGGTGCTTTTTCTTTGGAGGTTCTGTTGGAAACTAGGAAATGTGGGGGCCTTCCTTCCCTCCTATTGAAGGTTGTGCTGCTTTCCACCTGTGCCCATTCCTTTAGGGTTGTAGGTATTGTGTAAAAATCAAAAGTGGTGCATCTTGCATCAGGAGTTATCTCTAATTTTCACAGCCATCCACAGAATATGTATTGTTATACTCATCTCCAAACTGAGAAAACTGAGCCCAAAGAGAAAAAGTGATTTGTTGGAAGTCATACAGACAGGTCTTAGAACCTGGCCYGATGGCTTGCAAGATAGGTGTTGTGTATTTTATCTCACTGCTGCTTCTTCATGCCACAGCACAGACTATTGCTGGACACTGCCTTTCCATCCCAATTTGTTCTGATTTTTGCCCCAGGGTTGATATAATTCTGATGGCATGAAGTCTACATTCACTGTAGCTATGATTGTGCAAAGGAATTAAGTACAAAAGGTGCTGGGCACAGTGGTGCACACCTGTAGTCCTAGCTACTTGGGAAGCTGGGGGCCAGAGAATTCCAAGTTCTAGGGCAGCCTGGGCAACTTAGACTCTATCTCAAAACAAAAATTATYTTTAAATGTTCAAAAAGGGATGCTTTCAAAGGAAACAGACTGAGCACTTTAGTAGCAGCCACTGAAATTGATAATTGGGGGTACCAATTTTAATTCTCCCTTCAAGGTTTTTCAGGCCTTTTTCTGCCAATATCAGCCACCTTTGAAAGGGTCCTAAATAGGGAGGAAAGCTGCAAAACTTGAATTTAAGAGTATAGGGGTGATCTGTCTCAGATTATCCAAGAAACTTAGCTGTTCTTGAAATAGATTTATTTCACTATTTCTTTATCATGAACTTATTGTCAGTCACTCCGTTTCCTTATTTGTTGTCTTTAGCTCCAAGCACTCACTTTTTCTTTAAAAGATAATTGGTATATGCTGGAGGTATAGCTCAGTGGTAGAGCACATGCCTCACATGCTCAAGGCCCTGGGATCAATCCCCAGCACCCCCCCACACACACACACACACTCACACTCAAAAAGTGGAAAAAAAGATAATTGATACAAAAAGGCTCTGTGGTTGAGAGACCTGAAATCCAGTCTTGATATGATCCTCAGTTGAATTTCAGAACTACATGGACACCTGTTTGCTCACAACACATTAATTCTACAAACATTTAGTAAATGTCTGTCTGAGTCAGGCCTTGTGCTAGGTCTTTAGATAATCAGAGACCTTGGAGAGCTCACAGTCTAAAGTGGAAAAAGAAATGGAAGTAAAGCGACTTTCTTTGTCAGAAGAGTAGAATCTCACTGTGTTCTTTTAAGGATTACATTAGATGGGCTGGGGATATAGCTTGTTGGTAAAATGCTTGCCTTGCATGTACAAAGCCCTAGGTTCGATCCCTGGTACCACACACACACACACACACACACACACAAAAAGAATTAGGTAATCTGTGTGCTACAGATTATAAACGGCGTGGTGTTATTGCTATGTTAGACTTGTCTACACAAGTCTGTTCTCCATCACTCATTCTCCACCCTAGCCACCAGTCCTCTTCCCCAGCTTTCAGATGTCTCCATCTACAAGGAGTAGCTGGTGATAAAGGAGGAGATATGTTCCCTTCTGGGTATAGTATTTTCAGAGTTGAGACTGAATAGGAAATAACAATACACTTAAGAGTACTGTCAATTAGTGATCAGATAACTAGTAGATGTGCTTTTGGGGACACTTCTCTCTGAATCTAATGAGTTGTTGGTTTAACTGATTGCTCTGTCTTTATCCAGGGGCATTAGCAAATCAGTGATGCTTGTTGAGCAAAGTGAGAGTGTTGGCTTATATTTATTTGCTTTGGTTCCTAGAACTAATAACTAATTTTTAAAGCACTTTGTGCCCTCCTCTTCCTTCCAGTATTCAAGGAGAGCAAAGTTTTATTGAACTGAGCATATTCTTGGGTTGAATCTTTAAATTTTTTTTTTTTGTAGTTGTAGATAGATACAATACCTTTATTTTATTTATTTGTCCTTATGTGGTGCTGAGGATCCAACCCAGAGCCTCAAACATGCTGGGCAAGAGCTCTACCACTGAACTACCTCAGCCCCTCTTGGGTTGAATCTATTTATTCATATCACAAAACTTTTGGGGGCCCCTACTATTAAGTACTGTTGTAGGTACTTGAAATAACAACAGTGATAAACAGACAAAATCCTTGCCAACACAGAGCTCATTTGTCTATTGGTCGTGGTTCTTGGGTGGAGTGAGGCATGAGCAGACAATAAACAATAGGTATAATACAGAATTAAACTGTTTAAGACATGAAACTGTTAAGTACTATGGAAAAAAGGAAATGTAGAACATGTGAAAAGGGGAGTATCAGGAGTACATTGGTCAGAGTGTGTAGGCCCATACTATTGTTTTTCCTTGTTAGAATTGTACTGATTCTCCCCAATAAATCCCCAAATCATTCTGGAATCACATTGGCCAGACCTGAAATGCCACCGGCTTTTGAATTGGGTTTGGATGAAGGGAAGACAGAAGGGTAGCACCCCTTGATTTGARGCTGAAAGCAGAAAACCTTTACCTCATTTAGAATGTTGGCAGTCCCTGAGTTCAAAGAGAGAGACTCCAAGAGTAGCCCAGTCACCTCACCCTCATGTTCCTGCTTAATGTTTTAAGTCCTTAAGGATATAAAATACAATATCCTCAAATCTTTAAGATTAACTTTTTACAAACTTTATTTCTTTATGTATTTGTTATTTTATTTAGTTTTGAATAGTCAATTTTTAAAAACGCAGAAACAACTTACAATATAKTCCCTTTTATTTCTAAAGAGAGTTTGAAGTGACTTAAATAGAAATAGAAATATACACAAGAGAGTTAAAACTGGATGAAGATCAGAAATTGTATTGGTAAAAGGAAAGATAATTGTATCAGGATTGAACAAGAGGTTTTCTTTTCCAAAAATATGTTCATTGTTTTTGTAAAAACAGTATAGAGAAGAAAGTGACAGTCACCTGAATTCAGTCTTTCTAGACATTGATAATGCATATTATGGATATGCATTATAATTTCATGTAAATGGTACTATGCTGTACTCACTATAAATTAGATAGAGAAACTGAATATTAATCTACATTGAAGTTTCCTGACAAGACAAAAAAGGCTTACAGAGTTTTGGTCAGAACTTTGTTCTGACATCTTTTATATTATCTTATGCATCTAGCAAACATTTTTTAGAACTATCCTGTGTCAGATGCTGATGTGCTTGGCCATGGGGCTTTCAGAGAATAAGCAACCACAGCCTTTGCCCTAAGAAGCTTACTTCGACTACTGACATCAAGGACTGGAGTAATGTGGCCATTGTCCTCAGTAACCATTCTGCCAAAGATTTTCCAACAATCTACTAGGACAGCCCTTTTGCCAGCCCCAGTAACAGCTTGGGTATAGTATTGACTCAAGCAGCAGTCATTGAGGCCTGGCCCCTTTCTCCACAGTGAGCCCTCCATAAGCCTCATGCCACAAGGCACTTGTTTAGCCTGAGTCTGGGTGCCTCATTCTGTGTTGCACTTTGACCTACCCTAGCTAAAGGCTAAGCCACAGGGTCCCAGGATGATCACTGTGACTTAGCATAGCCTTCACTGGCTAGTGCAAATATACCCAGCCTTCAGCTAAATTCAATTAGTCTTTTTTTAAGAAGAGAAAGAAATCCAATTTTACTAAACATGGACAGACGGTGGAAGGCACTTTGATGTTACAACCTCTCAGTGATGCTTTACTTAGTCACAAGTTCATAAGCAAGAAGGCTTAATTACTTGGGAAAACACAGGATTAAAACTGATCACAATGACTGAGTATCCGCTCTCGGGCGACTTGATTCGAACCCAGGCACCCAGTTCGTGTGTGGTGCAAACTTTGATGTATGCTATGACAAGCTGAAAGTCATGATCCCCTTGGGGAAGCTCCTTCAGATGGCATTTGCAGGATGTGTAGGCGGAGAAGCAGGGTCTGCCAGGCCTGTTTGCTCAACTTTGATGTCCAAGCAGCCACAGGCCCCACTATTTGCTCTTTTACTGAGGGATGGATTGGGAGCCTCCTACCTTTCCCAATGGACAATGGCCAGCAATGGAGTGTGACGACTGTTGACCATTCCAGGAATCTGGTGGACCAGAACAGGGCTTTGGGAGGTGCAGAGCCTGGGGGGCCAAAAGCTGTTTGTAGGACAGTCATTTCTCCAGATGTAGCTTTCCTCAAAGCCCTAGTGATGGTTGGGTGCTTGGAGTGGAGATAAAAATAGTCTTATGAGTTTTTTTAGTAGATACCAAATACTGCTGTCCAGTAGCCCTAGGGTATTTATAAATTGGAAGTTTAAGTCTTTCCTATTCCCTTCATCAGATAATATGTGCAGGGAATAGTGGTGTAGAAGAAAAGTAGTATGATTCAGGTCCTTCTCATTTCTAGTACTTCAAAAAAGAAGCTTTCAAAACATACTATCTGATTAAGGGATAGTATCTAGAATATATTTTAAAAATGAACAAATCAACAATAAAAAGACAATCCAATTTTTAAAAAAAGACTGAGCAAAAGATTTGAGCAGACATTTTATCTCCAA